ACTATAAAGAGTAGTGGATTAAGTATCACAGAACTCTATGTCCAGGACCAGACTGAGAACCTGAAAATCAGGGACCTACTACTTTGTGAGTGGATGACAGAGAGTTATTAGTACTTTCTGCTTCTTGCTAACCTTGTGATACCTTTGTATCTCATTCTCCTCATCTCTAAATTAATCCTTGGACTTTTCTGTTAATCTCATAGGAAAATTAGATGAGAATTTTATAGGTGGAAGTGTTTTGCATGCTATAAAATAACACTAATATTTTATGATATAAATAGTGAAATTTTATTACATTGTAATGAAATAGTAACTTCATATGCTTAAAGAAAATTATGTCTTTTTACCAGAGTCTTTGGACTATTTAAGGTTTTTTTTATTATTATTTCTTAAGATTATTTTGGGTGACTGCCCTTGCTTTCCTTTTATTCCCCTTGATTATATCCATTTTTCTCAAAGGGCACTCACTGCACACGTACCAAATCAAGGTAAAGGATGCCCATTTTCACTGTTTTTATTCAACATAAACATTCTACCCAGCACAGTCAGGAAGAAAGATGAAAAATATTAAGATTTATCATCAAAATATTAAACATAAAATTTTGACCCAGCAATTCCATTTCCCATATATACCCAAAATAATTGAAAGCAGGGACTCAACAGACATTTTTTCACCAATGTTCATAGCATATTTCATAGCCAAAAGGTATAGACGATCCAAACATCCATCAAAAGATGATTGGATATACAAATGTGGTATAAGCATACAGTGGAACATTATTCAGCCCTGAAAGGGAAACTCTGACACATGCTACATCATGATGAATCTTGAAGACATTATGCCAGGTGAAATGAGCCAGACACAAAAGGACAAATACTGTATGATTCCATCTGTAATAGGTTCTGAGAGTAGTGGGATTCACAGAGACAGAAAGTAGAAGGTGGTTGCCAGGGATGGGAGGAGGGAGAAATGAGGAGTCACTGTTTAAGAGGAATGGAGTTTGAGTTTGGGAAGATGGAAAAGAGTTATGGCCATGCATGGGTGGTGGTGGTGGTTGGCCCATAATGTGAATATGCTTAATGTCACCAGCCTATGCACATAAAAGTGTTTGAAGTTACAAATACAATGTATATGTTAGCATAATTTTAAAAAACAGGATTTATTAAGGTGACTGACTGCAAATATACAAAATCAGTTATATTTGCAACAATTTGAAAATACCACTTGAAAGGAAGTCATTTACAATATCAAGAAGAGAAACAAAATAATAAATGGAATAAAGTGTGCAAGACCTATATGCAGAAAATTATGAAGTTTTACAGGAAGTCATTAAAGAACTTAATAGATGTTGCAGTATCCCTTGTTCATGGATAGGAAAACTTAAAGATGCCAGTTCTCCGCAAATGTATGTAGAGATTATGTGCAACTTTAATCAAAATCCCACTTTGGGGATCTGGATAAGACTGCTTATAAAATTTACATGGAAATGAAAGTTTCAGGACATTCTTGAAATGAAAGCCAAGACATTCTTGAAAAAGAAAATGGGGGTTGGGGAGCTGGATACGTGCTATAACAGATATCAAGATATATTGTATTATTTAGGCAAGGTACAATTAGTGCAAGTTTAGACATTTGAACCAATGGAACAGAATAAAGAACCCAAAAATAACTCACAGAACTCTGATACATGACCATGGTGGCATTGTAAATGAGGACTTTTTATTCATTGGTGGTGGGAAATTTGTTACCAGTTTGTAGAAAAAATGAAATTGGACCTCCTACACAACTCACAAAAGTCATTGTCAGGTGGTTAAGGACTTAAATGTGAAATGCAAGACTTTAAAGCTTTTTGAAGAAAAAAAGCTGAATCTCTCTCTGACTTGGCATGAATAGATTTGCAGCTTTGGATATTTTAGATAAGAAACAAAAAGCTCAGATAATGAAAAAGAAGGAGGGTAGATAAAGATGGATTAGTTTTGCCACATTAAACTAATTATTTCTATTCTTCAAAAGATATCTTAAAGAAAATTAAAAAGAAGCCCTAGAGTGGGGAAAGATATGTGCAGCAGTTATAACTGATTAACAATTTGTATCCAAAATAAAGAACTCTTAGAAAGCCAAAAGTAAAAACTTAAGTGAACATCATAATGGTACTTAATAGGAGAGAAAATACACACTTAGAAGCAGTGAAAATGAGTGAACTACAGCTTCATACATTTTGGATGAAATTTCAATGTCAAAATGTTGAATGAGTAGAGCAGGTGCCAAAGATTAATAAATGGTATGATAGTCTTTAGTCAAAAATCAAATAAAATTTAAGAGAATGATAAACACAAAATTCAGGATAGTGGTTCCTTTTTCTTTTCTTAAGGATATGTTTAAAATTTTTTTTCTTATTGAAGTACAGTTGATACACCTAAAGCATTACATTGGTTTCAGGTTTACAACATATTGATTCAACAATTATATACATTACTAATTGCTCACCATGGTTAAGTGTAGTTACCACCTGTCACCATACAGAGTTACTACAATATTGTTGCCAATATTCATCATCCCCATGTACTTCTTCTCATCCCCATGACTTACTTATTTTATAGTTGGAAGTTTTTACTTCTTTATCCCCTTCACTTATTTCACCCTTCCTCCCTACCTCTTCCTCATCAACAAAACAAAAAGGCAACCTGTTGAATGGGAGAAGGTAGTTGTGAGTGATATATCCAGCAAGGGTTTATATCCAAAATGTAGAAAGAATTCAAAATATATAAAGAACTTAACACCAGAAAATCAAATGATCGATCTTACTGAAAAATGGGCAGAGGACCTGAACAGAAATTTTCTCAAAAGACATATACGGATGGCCAAAAGACACATGAAAAGATGCTCAACATTACTAAACATCGAGGAAATGCAAATCAAAACCACAATGAGATATCACCTCACACCAATCAGAATGGCTAATATTGAAAAGACAAGAAATAACAAGTATTTGCAAGGATATGGAGAAAAGGGAACCCTTACATTTACGAAGGGAATGTGAATGGTACTGGTTACCTCGTAAAGATAGTCAAAGGAATTGGATCTGGAAGGAGCACATAGGTAGATGTGTGTGGTTGGCATGTGGTTCTTAGATAAAAAGGTAGATGCATGTGTATTCGTTATAAAAATTAACAAGAAAAGTCACATTAGGGACTAATGATAATTGAGTGTCATGAAGAAAGGATTATAATTAATCTGCGCCCAAGGTCTAAAATAAATTACTTATGCAGATAAACACATTTATTTATGTTGCATGGGGATGCAAATCAAGGTGACGAGGTAATTTGGGAATTTTTAATTTCTTATGGTGACTGACATAAGCAGGGATTCATCCAAATTTTCCCAAAGCAGATTGTTACAGGAAGATGGTGTAGAGATAAGGCCAGGAACTTTGATTTCCCACCATTCACCCAGTGAAAGCTTGAAGAGCTGTGCACCTAGCTTTCAAGCTCTTGGCCAGAGGAGGAGTATGGTGCCCCAGACATTCAGAGTTAGAACCTTGTGAGGTACTTCCTTTCCCCCTTTCAGAGGGAGAAATATAGTGAAATAACATTGTAGGGGTAATGTTGGGAACACCAAAAAAAGATTTGAAGAGGAGGAAAAGAAGATCAAGACTTCTTAGTTACAGCTTTGGGATGAGTTTCTGTCCACTATTGACCTATTTTAACATCTGCCTAATTCTGTCCACTGTTGAAAATACCTATCTGCTTAATTCTTTTATCCATATTCTTCCTCTAAATAGTCTTCTCGAAACAAGTCTCTGCTGCCCTTCTCTGCTACCTCTCTGCTAAAAGGATTCAATCTGGTTTTTGATTTATTATGAAAATTCCAAATTAAAAGTTATTTTTATACATATCACTACTTAAAATACTATAAAGAGTAGTGGATTAAGTATCACAGAACTCTATGTCCAGGACCAGACTGAGAACCTGAAAATCAGGGACCTACTACTTTGTGAGTGGATGACAGAGAGTTATTAGTACTTTCTGCTTCTTGCTAACCTTGTGATACCTTTGTATCTCATTCTCCTCATCTCTAAATTAATCCTTGGACTTTTCTGTTAATCTCATAGGAAAATTAGATGAGAATTTTATAGGTGGAAGTGTTTTGCATGCTATAAAATAACACTAATATTTTATGATATAAATAGTGAAATTTTATTACATTGTAATGAAATAGTAACTTCATATGCTTAAAGAAAATTATGTCTTTTTACCCCAGAGTCTTTGGACTATTTAAGGTTTTTTTTATTATTATTTCTTAAGATTATTTTGGGTGACTGCCCTTGCTTTCCTTTTATTCCCCTTGATTATATCCATTTTTCTCAAAGGGCACTCACTGCACACGTACCACTCGGGCCTCTTAAAACAGTTTCATTAATTACTCAATTGCATACAATACTGGACTGATCAAAGGGATCAAAGAAAAAACGTCCTGTCAGAAGTCCAAAAATGTGAATCACAGTTTTATAGTTATTATCAGGACTAGGCAGGGTTAGAGTTGTCCAGAAAAATTTTTACTTCAGTCTTGAAATTCAGTATTTATTTTTTAATGATTGTGCAAGAATGATCTTTATATTTGAGGAGGCCAGGGAACAGTATAGTAAAATATTTGGGCATTTGAACTGAATATGACTACATATTTTTAATTAGGGAAATGATCAACAAAAATTGCTTACCCATTTAAAGTAGTGAAAATGAGAAATAATGTATTATAATTTACTTCTTTTTAAGCTAATAATTTTATGTACATACAAGGATATTATATTTTAAAGAATGAGTTTGGGTTTATACTCTTAATAGACATGTCTGATTTTGTTTTATTTATATACTACCAAAATAAAATTAAAGAAGGCATGGCTTTGAAATTCAAATTCAAATTTTCAGTAAATACAACTTCCAGTCTTTGTTATTATAAAAGAGATTTGGAAATAACTTAGGCTTTTCTGTTTGTTTTTTAGTTATTAAGTCGAAAAGACAAAACTACCTTTGAAAAATTAGAATATGTAATGAGTAAAGAAGATAACTACAAAAGACTCAGAGACTATATAAGTAGCTTAAAGATGACACCTTGCATTCCCTATTTAGGTGAGTTATGTCACTGTGTTCATTTTGCCTAGTTGTTGATGTGCCTTAATCAGTAATTTATATAAAATTCAAGCTGTTTTAAAAGTGTATGTGTCCTTTGAAGAAATTTCTGCAAGATTGCTACGTTTAAAAATTGACTAAAGGGATATGTAACCTTCTTGCCTGGACTGTATTTTCATGTTAAATTACCCTTTGCCATTAAAGTTTTTTCATAGACTATCATTTTTTCTTAAAGATG